ATAGACAAATCTAGGTGGTTAAATGTAGTCGTGGAGAAGTTATAGGTGGTTAAAAAAACGTTGGATATTTAGACTTGTAATTGACTACTAATAACTACCAATAAAGGGAGATGACACCAAACCCACCTCTCTCCCTTTATTAATAGGGGGTTGGTTTGTTTGGAATTCTTTTCCTTTATTGACAGTTATTAGTTGTTAATTAACAAGTATTTTTTTAAATCTCCTAAGTTTTCTTTCATTCAACTTTAACCACATTTAACTGCCTATAATTATCTATTTAGTCACTTTCCACTTCTAAATCTTTTTTTTTCTTACATGCACACATGGGTACTGCGTGTGCATAACTTCTAGTAGTAGTAGATATTCACATGAGTAATCTTGTGCAGGACATATAATTGGGAAGAAAGACTGCAAGCCTCTTTATAAATAGATTGATTGGGTTTTGATGACTCATTTGTCTGGTCTTCATAGGTTCCATCAATTTCCCTTTTTCTCCGTAACTTCTGTTAGTTACCCTTTTTCTTCACTCTCATTTTTGTGACCTCCATCAACCGCCTGCTTCCCCCCTCACCGCTCTCTCTTTGAAACTGAAGGATCGGAATTCCAACCGTCCTGTTTCAAAATCTTTCAGATATTTCATCAAATAAGGGTTGAGCTTCTTTTTCTGTCTAAACCCTAATCTCCAACAAACTTAGCAAGTTCATGCTCATCCAGGGTATTCATGACTTCCAAGCAATTGTGCATGCATTTCTTTTATGAGAACTCACCCTCCATCTCAAGTAAACACAGTTGTCCTTTGTCTGAATTTTCTAGCCACTTGTTTCTTTTAGTAAGTGTTTGTCTTATACCAAATGCTTCTATGATTACCAAAATTTCTTTTTGGGGTGAAATTTAATGACAATAGTAATGTTATCTCTTGTTCTTTTACTGTTAAGTATTACCCTGCCGTTATTCCATTTTCTCCTTTTCATAGTGAAAGACTTGCATGAATTAACGCCTCATTCTATCAGCATTTGTGTGTGTTAGTTATTTGTTTGGATTGTGAATTGCTGTTGATTCACCTTGTGAACTGGAATGTAATGATGATTTTGTGGTGTTTTGGCTAGTTAATGGATGCGATCATCTGGTTCTCAGCACTAAATTTTGGGGAGACTAGAATAAATTCAATATTGGATTATGAGTATGTTAACCGATAACAGTCCCATTTCAAAGATGCCCGCGAAAAGATTAGTTGAGAATAATAGATGTGAGTGTCCCAGTTCACCGAATATTAAGCGTTTGAAGGGTGATGCCATTGGACAATTTCCAAAACATTGTGGTGCACTTGACTCTCGAGACGGTGAAAGGAATATTGAAGGTATCGCAGGTGCGAGAAACTCCGAAGTTGGGGGAGAGGGGGCTGTTTTGGACGTGATGCCTCTGAGCATTTGGGTACCTAATGATTTGCCATATTCGGTTATGAAGACATTGGTTTCACATGGTAAGGTTGATGCTCTTGAGACAAAAATGACTGGGAAGAATGTGGAAATGGATTTGCCAAAAGAGTTGGGAAAGTCTGAATTGGTCAATGTGGTGGCAAATGGTGGTCAGCCTAGGCAGATTGATATAGAATGGCAATCCACTGCACTAGACTTCCGTCAATGCGGAGAATGGGGAGCGTCATATAGAAGCAACCTTACCTCTACATTCAGAGAGACTATTTCTGCAACTCGAACTCTTGACACTCAGGTCACAATAGAGCAATCTTACCACTGTGCCAAGGTCCACCCTCAGGAAATTGGGGATGGATATGTGCAGGGGAGAAAGTTAGAACAGAATGTTTCGAAGAAAAATCCAGAAAAGGTTCAACATGAACCTAGACAGGTCAACGAAATGTGCAAGCTGGTTCAAGAGAAAACATCTGATTGTGATCTCAAGCAGGAAGAAGATGGAGATGAAGTCCACATTTTATCTCCACTGGAGTGGAATTTGTTGGAATCTGGTTTTAAGCGTCAGACGGTCTGTAACATAGATGGAGTTAGAAGTCTTGTTGAGAAAAGCTGCAAGGATCCTGAAAAATGCAACAGAAACAATTTTTGTGAGGTTGAAAGTGGTGCACTGGCAGAGTCTCAAGAAGTAGAATCTTTTCAACTGGCTCCTTCATTTGTTGACAATTTAACTGCTGAGCAGTGGGGGAAAAGGGTCTTTGATTGTGGATTTACTGAATCTATGTGTGGATACAAAGGTCAGAATTTTGATTTAATGGATGTGGACAGATCTAAAAATGTTTCAGGATCGAATTCTACAAGAAATGAATCTCTTGCTCTTGGCATGAAAACTGCTTATCATTGTATGAGTTCAGCATTTGGCAACGATGAAGAACATGAACTTATTCTCGCAGCCAAAGAGTCAACTGATGGGAGTATTGTTCCTTATGATGAGTACCAGACACTTGTCAGTCGCAATAAAGTAAGGGAGGCCGTAAATCTCTTTGAAGAGATGTATAACAAGATGTTTCAAGAATATAACACAAAGGACCCACGAAAGCCCGTTGGGCAGATTCATGTGGAAGCAGCAATGGTTCTCAAAAAACAGCAAAAACAGGGTAATGCTGATAAGCACTTTCTGGGACATGTTCCTGGTGTTGAAGTTGGTGATAGGTTTCGGTTTTGGGCTGAACTTGTTATTATTGGCCTACATCATCAATTTTCTTCAGGTATACATTACGTGAAGAAAGATGGAAAAATTTTAGCCACTAGCATTGTGGCTTCTGGTCGTTATTCAAACAACACAGAATCTACTGATGTTTTAGTATATTCGGGTCAAGGCGGAAATCCAGCTACCGGAGATAACAAACCTGAAGATCAAAAGCTTGAGCGAGGTAATCTTGCGTTAAAGAACAGCATGGATGCAAAAACTCCTGTAAGGGTTATCCTTGGTCATCGGAGGGACTCAATATACATATATAATGGTCTGTACACTGTGGAGGAGTATTGGCAAGAAAGAGGGTCATATGGCAAATTAGTATTTAGGTTTAAATTAAATAGAATACCAGGGCTACCAAAATTTACTCAACAAATCCTGATTAAGCCAAAAAAATCTAAAGCATGCTTTGAGCGTTGTGTGGCAGATGATGTATCTGGTGGGAAAGAGAAAATGTGCATTCGTGCAATGAATGCTTTGGATGATGAGAAACCCCCACCTTTTACTTACATAACCAATATGATATATTCAGACTGGTATGACCACTCTATGCCAATTGGTTGCGATTGCACCAACGGATGCTCTGATTCTGAGCAATGTTCTTGTGCATTAAAGAATGGAGGTGAGATTCCTTTCAACAATAGTGGTGCTATTGTTAGAGCAAAACCTGTTGTCTATGAGTGTGGTTCTTCTTGCAAATGTCCCCCTTCTTGCATGAATAGATCTACTCAACACAGTGTTCGATATCAGTTGGAGGTCTTCAAGACTGAATCAAGGGGATGGGGTGTTAGATCACAAGATTTTATTTCGTCTGGAAGCTTTATTTGTGAATATGTAGGCGAGTTGCTTCGAGAAAAGGAAGCTGAAGAAAGGGCTGGTAGTGATGAGTATTTGTTTGATATTGGGAATTCCCAATTTGATGAAACAGAGGATGATACCTTTACTATTGATGCAGCACAGTTTGGGAATGTTGGGAGATTTATTAACCATAGTTGCTCGCCTAACCTTTATGCTCAAAATGTTTTTTATGATCACGATGACCAGAGAATGCCTCATGTAATGTTGTTCGCTTCGAAGAACATACCTCCTTTACGAGAACTAACTTATGATTACAATTACAAGATCGATCAAGTTCGCGATGCTAATGGCAATATCAAGAAGAAGAATTGTTATTGCGGTGCTCGCGGGTGCACAGGAAGGATGTATTGAGGTAGATCCTCTTCAAGTCATTCAGCTGTCCTTGGGGTGGAAAATTATGTTTGCTTTTCATTGTTATCTTTTGTTTTCATCCAATGCATTCGTTTGAACTCATTTGATTACTTTTTAGGACAAAATGATTTAGCCTGAAGATTTTGGTGCCAGCTGGTAGCTGATCCCAAAGTATGCAGAGGTTTTCTTTCATTCAAAGCCTTGTTAGATTTGTTTAGACGAGTCGGAGCTGTTCACTTTCAATGGATTGCCTGGGATCTTGAAACCTCTTGGCTTATGAGGACAAGAGTGGAAACGTCTGTGAAAGAATTGTGTTGCGGGGTGAAAGGTTTCTTGTTGGGCTTTTCAGCCCTCCTGTTCTCCACCTACTTGTGGAAGCAGGGCCCCGGGTGGGTGGGTTGTGAGATTAAGTTTTCAAGGTGATCGAAGGCGGCCACAAGTGGAAGCAATTGATGCTTTGGTCATTCAATATTGTGTCATAAAGACCCTTATGCCCATGTCCCAATCCCCAACCCCCATCACTTGCGATCAATATGTACATCTAAAAGATCTTTCATATTGTGCTAAATAGTTGAATGTTTTAAGGCAATTCACTATTGATTTTAGTATTGTGACTAACTTGCATAAGTTGAAGTCTCCAAACGAGCCCTAGATTATCTGGTTCAAATTGNAAAAAAAAAAAAAAACCCCGCCTCAGGGTCGGAGCTAAAGTACCAACAAAACTAAGACGTTCGGAAAATCCAACAATTGACACTTCTTTTTCTCCAACCAATCAACCAAAATTATGAAAAAATGAATCTTCAAACACGAAAATTGTCAGTTTTACTCCATCAAAATTCAAGCATACAACTAGAATTTTAAGAGACAAATCCAATTATAAACATAAATACATATACATCGTGTGTGTGTGTGTGTGTATGTTCCCTCCTGCTGAAAAAGCATTCATTCTTCATTTCTCAAAATATTTCAATTGGGACAAGCAAGAAATATGCTAATTCAACAGCTTTTTGTTCAATTTCTTGTGGAGTCTAATTCTTATGCGTGTAACTTCACATCTCGCAATTCAAAGAAAGACCCATTTGACCACAGAGAAAGCCAAGAATACCAATTCATCGACAGAGCAATTCAATCTAACCCATCAAAATTCAAACACTAAATTCACAGAAATAACTCAAAGAAAGCCCCAAAATTCAGAAAACCCACCTGGCGATTAAGGGTTGTAGGGTCATGTCTAGCCCAGAAAGCATCAAGCAAAGACTCAAAACTACACTCCTTCGGATCATACTGAACCCTAACAACCTCAGAGTGGTTCGTAGTCCCCGAACATACATCCTCATAAGTGGGTTTATGAATAAAGCCCTGAGTGTACCCAACCTCGGTCTTGGTCACACCAGGGACTCTCTGGAAGACCAATTCCACGCCCCAGAAACACCCAGCTCCGAATTGGGCGAACTGTTGACCCGGTGCTGGGATATCATTGTCTGGACCTTGGGCTATGGAGGAAGAAGAAGAGTCCATGGAGGGTTCGGTGGGGGACCGCGTACCGAAGCCTAGCTTGCCCAGCCAGGACATCTTTGGGGGTGTGTAGAAATATATGGGCCTAGTGCTTTGAGGGAAAGAAAGGGGTTTGGCAGAGCTTGTAGAGAGAGAAAGTGAGGGTTTGGAGAGAGAAAAAGAGGAGGAGATGAGGAGGGGGAGAGGGGAAGAGGGTAAGGTGGAGGTGGAGGTGGTGGAGGCTCTGAGCATGATGATTTGTTTGAAGTGACGTGTTGAGTTTAGTTTAGATATTCTGAGGAAATGCAAAAAATGTGAAATGAGAGTTCGGTCTATGCCTGCCTTGTGGGGGAAGATTACGAAATTGGTACTTTTATCAAAATTTATAATTTTTTTATCCAAAAATTATAATAAAAGAATGATAAAAATTATAATTTTTTAAAATTAAATAATATATTTTAAATGTGAAGTTATAATTAATTAAAAATATTTATAATCGATTATGAAATTCCTTCAAACAATCATAATTTTATCTTTAAAAAGATGTAATTTAAGGTAGAACGGTCAAGCGTATCTGGGTCAGCTTATATGTACTTCGACTAATCTCCTGCTCGATCTGATTAAAAATAGGTCATCCACTCCGAAATTAAAGTATTCATTATGAATAAATCACTTATGACTTTATCTTAATGAGTTGTCAAAATTCAAATACAAAATATCTAAATTTATAACTCATTCTTATTATTACTTGACTTACGATTAAAAAAATAATAATAATATTTTTAATATGGTATTAAATTTTTTTTGGTACGAATATATGTGCAGATTTTATTTAAAGATATATTCTATGGTACNTTACAGCTTGACTTTTACAATGTAGCCAAAGCTGATTCCATATGTATATCAAAGGATAAAGTTTCACCCCCACAATAATTATAAAAATGAGAAAGAAAGAGATGCATAAGGACAAACTTCGATTAGTTTACAAAGTAAAATGACGTATCAAGAGAGATTTGAGAGTGCTTAAGTAACTTCGCTGAGTGCTTTCTAAGAAGAGATTGGCTTGAAAGAAGAAAATAGAATACGAATAGCCACGGTGGTCATAATAGATCAGCGTCCATGCTAGTTCTTGCTCCAACAGATAGAAAATCCACTACCCAAAATAAGAAATAGCGAAAAAAAAAAACCAATGTAAGTTCTCAGAATTTAAAAAAAAAAACACATTGCTAAATACACCACAGGCAAACTCTTAACCAACTAACATGAGGCTAACAGGATATAACAAAAGGCAACTGCTCCAATTAAAGTTGATCCAAATACAACAGCAGTCAAATATCTGTACTTAGAAGCTACATGCATCATCTGTTCTCATGACAGTAGAATATATAAGGTATGAGATAAGATATAACTGTCATAGGAAGTGGGCAGAATCGCAAACATATTAACAAGCATATCTAAAACAGCAATTATGACCCAGGAAAAAAAAAACGAGATAGAGGGTGCCTAGCCGTAGCAACGAATTGGATCATTGCAGCCTTTCTCAGCAGATTGCTTAAACCCAAATCGACCCCCCTTTGAGAGGTATTGCTGGTGATACTCTTCTGCTCTGTAAAATTTCTTGGCAGGTAAAATCTCAGTAACAATCTTCCTGTTCATTTGCTTCTGGTGTCTGTCCCTGGACTCTATTGCTGCCTTCTCCTGCTCAGGTGTATAGAAGTATATTCCAGATCTGTATTGCGTTCCCACATCATTTCCCTGCCAAAGGATACAACGAGCATTACTATAAGTCTTTTTTTTTGTTTGGGGAGTAGGGGGTGGGTGGTGGGGGCGGGGATGGGGGGAAATGGGAGTGGGGGGATTGGAAGG